TACCTATGTGGCACAAAATTACCTATGGCACCAAATTGTGCAAATATATCCCAACAGCGCTGCCCAAGGGTTAGCATGCAGGGAATACATGTGTATCTTTTGTGGTTGTTGCAGGACATCATCAGGAGGTTCAAATCATCTAAATTTGGCTCTCGAGAAGCTGTTAGACATGACTTCTCTGAGTTCCCAGACAAGGTGGCTATCCAGCTCAATGACACTCATCCATCTCTGGCTATCCCAGAGCTGATGAGGATCCTGGTTGACATTGAAGGATTGACCTGGGAGCAGGCCTGGGACATCTGCACCCGCACTTGTGCATACACTAACCACACTGTGTTGCCTGAGGCCCTGGAACGCTGGCCAGTCTCCATGTTGGAGTACATCCTCCCCAGGCATCTCCAGATCATCTATGAGATTAACCAGAGACTCATGGATCAGGTGATCATCAATCAATCAACTGCATATGTATAATACAGTGAAACCCCTCTTCAAGTTTAAATTCCCAAAGAGCTAGCAAACAATTTATTGTGTGGGAAGGTTTTGAGTTGAAGAAACTACCATTTTTACCTTTGAAGAAAGAAGATTTAAAGTCTGCTGAAATCTTTCTTGGCCCAAATCTTCCTTGACAAGAAGTTTCTCCTTGTCAAGTAGGATGCTCAACTAAGGGGTAAGGTATCATATATCACCTGTTAGTACAGTCAACCCCTGCACAACAGGCTTCATTTTTACAAATTACTGGTTCTGTGTGTGAAAAGTCTGTTATGCAAATTCAATTTTAAAAAAACTTGAAATTTGTACTTTTTACCATCAATTTTAAACCAAAAGAAGTCTGTTATGTGGATGTAGTCCATTGCGCAGGAGGGAAAAATGCCTGCTGTGCAAAAACCTGTTTTGTAGGATGAGGTACATTGAATGGGGGTTGAATTTGTATTTCACTTTCTTTTCAAAAAGCATCAAGTTACATTTTTATTGATCTTCTCTTTCCTGGGTCACAAAAATGACCACACAGGAATAAAAGTTTATTCCATTAATGAAAAATTCATTGATGAAGTTCATTTTTCTTTTCTTTGAGAGAAGGAAATTAACCTTAAAAAAACAATGCATTTATGATTACTCATTGAATATGCATCTTGGTAACATTAAATTATGTTGCAGCACATTTTCCTATTATAAAGGGACAGAAGACCTTTTTTTTGTACTTTTGTGAGGAGAAAATTTACTTGCAGAGAAGGAGGCTTTATTGATAATATAATGAATATATGAATCTTGTTAAAATCAAATTATACTGCAGTTCATTTACTCAGAATGAAGGAATAGTTGAATGTTTAAGATGCAGTAGTATGAATTGAATTTAACATGTGCAAAAGATTTGGAAGAATGCAAAACCTAGCTTAAACTTGGCACATCACCAAATCTTGATGAACATGAAAAAATTTTTCAGGGTATGAAAATGAATATAAAACATGAACAAGAGCTCAGATGTGTTTCACAGAGTTTAGAAGAAACCTTGCCTATAACCTTCTTTCAGATGTTCGCATTTGATGGAAGAATAGTTTCTTTTGTTTTCTTTTTGAGAAATCATTGCAATTTTCATGGTTTTCTTCAAAAGGTTTCCAAACGTTGGGTTGGGGACTTTGATCGCATGCGAAGGATGAGCTTGATTGAGGAAGAAGGCGAAAAACGCGTCAACATGGCGCACTTGTCCATCGTTGGCTCACACGCAGTCAATGGTGTCGCTGCTATCCATTCAGAAATCATCAAGCGCGACATCTTCCACGACTTTTGCGAAATGAATCCCGAGAAGTTCCAGAACAAGACAAACGGTATCACTCCGCGACGTTGGCTCTTGCTTTGCAACCCTGGATTGGCCGACGCGATTGCGGAGAAAATCGGCGACGAATGGCCGCGACATCTAGACCAACTGCAGGAACTCAAGAAGCACGTTCATGACCCGGGTTTCATGCGTGTCGTGCAGACTGTGAAGCAGGAGAACA